ACATCTGCAAAGTCAATCAATGTGTTACACCACATTTACAAAAATGAAGGATAAAAATCATATGATCATCTCTATACATGCAGAAAAAGATTTGAGAATATTTAACATCCATTTATGCTAAAAACTCTCAAAGTGGGTATAGAGGGAATACACCTCAACATAATAAAGGCCATATATGTCAGGTCCACAGCTAACATCATACTCAATGGTGAAAAGCTGAAATCTTTTCTTCTAATATCAGGAACAAGACAAGAATGCCCACTTATGTCACTTTTATTCAACACAGTATTGGAAGACCTAGCCAGAGCAGTTAGGCAAGAAAAAGGAGAAAGGGCATTCAAACTAGGAAGATGTGAAACTGTCACTATTTGCAGATGACATATTATATATGGAAAATGCCAGAGACTCCACCAAAAAACTGTTAGAATTAAACAAATTCAGTAAAGTTGCAGGATACAAAATCAACGTACAAAAACCTGTTGCATTTCTATATGTTAACAATGAGCTATCAGAAAGAGAAATTAAGAAAACAATACCGTTTACAACCACATCAAAAAGAATAAAATACTTAGAAATAAATCCAACCAAGGATGTAAAAGACGTGTACTTGCATGTACATCATTGATATTATGTATAAAATAGACAAGTAATGGAACACACTGTATAGCACAGGGAACTCTACCTAATGTACTGTGGTAACCTAAATGGGAGGGAAGTCCAAAAGGGAGGGGATATCTGCATGTGTATGGCTGATTCATTTCGTTGTGCACTGGAGGCTAACACAACATTGTAAAGCAATCATACTCCAATAAAAATTAATTAAAATAAAAGACATGTACTTGGAAAACTACAAGACAGTGATAAAAGAAATTGAAAATGACACAAACAGATGGAAAGATATAGATATACTGTGCTCACTGATTGGAAGACTCAATGGTTAAAATGACCATAATACCCAAGACAATCTACAGATTCAGTACAATCCCTACGAAAATACCAATGTCATTATTCACAGAACTAGAACAAATAATTCTAAAATTTGTATGGAATCACAAATGACCCCGAATAGCCAAAGCAATCTAGAGAAAAAAAGAACAAAGCTGGAGGTATTATGCTTCCTGATTTCAAACTATACTACAAAGTTACAGTCATCAAAACAGTATGGTATTGGCACAAACACAGACACATAGATCAATGGAACAGAATAGAGAACCCAGAAATAAACCATGCATACATGATCAGTTAATTTATGACAAAGGAGCCAAGAATATGCAATGGGGAAAGGACAGTCTCTTCAATAGATGGTGTTTGGAAAACCAGACAGCCATATGTAAAAGAATGAAACTGGACCACTATCTTACACACAGATTAATCCATTTTGAGTTAAAGAATTGAATGTAAGACCTGAAACCCTAAAACCCCTAGAAGAAAACATACACAGTAAGTTCCCTGACCTCAGTCTTGGTGATGATTTTCTGGATCTGACTCCAAAAGCAAAGGCAACAAAAACAAAAACAAACAAGTGGGACTACATTAAACTAAAAAGCTTCTGCACAGCAAAGGAAATCATCAACAAAGTGAAAAAGCAACCTACTGAATTTGCATCATATATCTGATAAGGGGTTAATATCCAAAATATATAAAACACTTGCACAACTCCATAGCAGAAAAAAACAATCTGATTGCAGTCGACCCTTGAGCAATGAGGGGGGTTAGTCCACGTATAATTTATAGTCAGCCCTTCATGTCCACATCCACATCTTCTGCATCCATGGATTCAACCAACCACAGACCATGTAGTACTGCAGTATTTACTACTAAAAAAATATCTGTATGAGTGGACCTGCATAGTTTAAACCTGCATTGTTCAGGAGTCAGCTGAAAGGGGCTTCCCTGGTGGTGCAGTGGTTAAGAATCCACCTGCCAATGCAGGGGACACGGGTTTGAGCCCTGGTCCGGGAAGATCCCACATGCCGCGAAGCAGCTAAGCCTGTGCACCACAACTACTGAGCCTGTGCTCTAGAGCCCACGAGCCACAACTGCTGAGCCCACATGCCACAACTACTGAAGCCCGTGCACCTATAGCCTGTGCTCTGCAACTGCAACGAGAAGACACCGCAATGAGAAGCCCGCTCACCGCAACGAAGAGTAGCCCCTGCTCGCCGCAACTAGAGAAAGCCCACACAGAGCAACGAAGACCCAACGCAGCCAAAAATAAATAAATAAAATTTTAAAAAGTCAGCCGAAGGAATGGGCAGAAGAGCTGAATAGACATTTTTCCAAAGAAGACATACAGAGGGCCAACAGGTATATGAAAAGATGCTCAACATCATTATCAGGGAAACAAAAATCAAAACCATAATGAAATACCACCTCACACCTGTAAGAATGGCTGTCATCAAGAAGACAACAAATAACAAATGTTGAGGAGGATGTAGAGAAAAGGGAACCCTCATACACTGTTAGTGGGGATTGTAAATTGGTGCAGCCACTATGGAAAACAGTATGGAGGTTCCTCAAAAAATTAAAAATAGAACTACCATATGATCCAGCAATTCCACTTCTGGGTATTTATCCAAAGAAAACAAAAACACTAATTTGAAAAGATATGTGCACCCTCATGTTCATTGCAGCATTATTTACAATAGCCGAGATATGGAAACAACCTAAGTGTCCACTGATGGGTGAATGGGTAAAGAAAATGTGCTACACACACACACACACACACACACACACACACACACATGCACGCACAATGGAATATGATTCAGCCCTGAGAAAGAATGAAATCTTGGGACTTCCCTGGTGGCACAGTGGTTATGAATCCACCTGCCAATGTAGGGGACACGGGTTCGATCCCTGGTCTGGGAAGATTCCACATGCTGTGAAGCAGCTAAGCCCATGTACCACAACTACTGAGCCTGTGCTCTGGAGCCTGAGAGCCACAACTACTGAGCCCACGTGCTGCAACTACTGAAGCCTGCGTGCCTACAGCCCGTGGTCCACAAGAGAAGCCGCCACAACGAGAAACCCGCGCACCACAACGAACAGTAGCCCCCGCTCGCCACAACTAGAGAAAAGCCCACGTGCAGCAACGAAAACCGAATGGAGCCAAAAAGAAAAAAAAAAAAAAGAAAAAGAATGAAATCTTGCCATTTGGGACAACATGGATGTATCTTGAGGGCATTGTGCTAAGTGAAATAAGTCAGACAGAAAGACAAATACCATATGATCTCACTTATGTATGGAATCTAAAAAACAAGCTCATAGATAAAGAGAACAGATTGATGGGTGCCAGAATCGGGGTGGAGGGTGGGTAAAATGGGTCAAAAGGTACAAACTTGCACTTACAAAGTCACAGGGATGTAATGTATAGCATGCTAACTATAGTTTATACTGTGTTGCATATTTGGAAGTCACTAAGAGGGTAAATCTTAAAAGTTCTCATCAGAAGAAAAAAATTTGAAACATATATGGTGACGAAAGGTAACTAGATTTATTGTGATCATTTTACAATATATACAAATATTGAATCATTATATTATACACCTGAAGCTAATATAATATGTTATGCTTTAAAAAGTATGCTTAAAAAAAGAAAAGAGTACATGGGCCTCTGGCTACATGCTGGCCTGTGTAGAACCCAGCCCACGTCTAATCCCTGCTAGACCTTGCCCCACTAACTCCCCTGAACCGGCTCTTTCTCACACTCTCTCTAGTGCCAAGGCTGACTATGACTTGAAGACTCCGAGCACAGCAAGAGTGTTGCCTTTCCTTAAACGCTAGGTCTGTGCTTGCAACCCAGCTTCTCAAACCAAACAGTATATCGTTTAAAGATGCATAAATGCATATATATGGAAATATAAAGACAAGCCAAGAAATGATTAAACGGAGGTCAGGATAATGACTACTTCTGGGGTTGGGGGAGGGTTGACTGGGATGAGGCACTCAGGAAGCTCTTAACAGGGCTGCCACACAGGCTGCCCCCTGAACAACTCTAGGGGATGCCATTCACATAAACTGGCTTCTCGAGTACTAGAGAGAGTCCATTTCCTTATGGAGTGGTGAGTACATAGGCATTCATATTTTTCTCTAAAAAAATAATATATTTATTCTCACAGAACAATACATACATTTTATTGACACATGGACTTCTGAATATATTACTAATTTTGCCAAGTTTTGGCAAACTGTTTCTATAAAGGGCCAGATGGTAATGTTTTTAGGCTTTACAGCAAATAAGGTCTACGTCACAGCTACTCAGTTCTGCTGTTGTAGTGTAAAAGCAGCCACAGAGTATATAAATGAGTGGGTGTGGTTATGTTCCAAATTTTATTTACAAAACCAGGTGGCTGAATTTAGCTTGGGGCCAAAGTTTACCGAATCCCAGATTACACAGTTAAATCTTTAAAAGAAAAAAATGCAGCTGTGGTTTATCTAGGGGATTCTGAGTAGTGTGTGAAGCAAAGGATTCACTGGCGATATATAATAGGAAGGTCAATAATGCAGCCTTGTGTAATGTATGTTTATTAAGTTGTGACTGAAAATGTTTGAGGTAAACTTGACATTTTTATGAACTTGGGGCTTTGTCCTTTGTTATGTAAGATACTGAGAAAAAATTGCTCTTTGAACCTTGATTTCATTAGGGAACCATTTTTATCAGAATTATCCAGATTAATTCTTTTACTAATAATGGTAAACCCAACTACAATAATACCATCTGTCATGAATTGATCATCATCAGATTATTAGACATGATGCCAGGCACATTATACATGTTATTTCTCTTCCTCACAACAGTCCTTCAATGTAGACTTCTTTTTTCCGTCTCCCATCTTGCAACTGAGAAAGGCTGACTCTTCTAAGCTCATATAGCTAATAAAGCTGAGACGTGAACCTGAGTTGTTCAGCTTCGAAGTTCATAGTCTTTTCTTCCTACAGCACACTGCCTCTATAAAAGACATCCTGTTTTAATGCTGCCCAAATCAATTTGGTTTTAGATTGTCTTCGCAGTTTTACCGACTTAGAAGAACTTGATGAGACAGAGTTATACATGTGCCACAAGTGCAAGAAGAAACAAAAGTCCACTAAAAAGTTTTGGATTCAGAAACTACCCAAGGTAAGTGTTGAGTTTCAAATTATAATACCATTTTGAGGGAAAAAATGCTTATGATTGACTGGAAGACAAATTATTTTTCTAACTTTATACTTATATAATCTGTTCTGCATTGGTCTCTAAGGGTTTCAGTAAAACTAAATACACCCTTTAAGAATTCATAATATGTCCTAATCACTATTTACAATGTGTGGAGGTTTTTTTTTTTCCCCACCACGCCACTAACAAGCACTCCTCTGACACCATGGGTGTCCTACAATTGAACTCAATTCTAACACTATCTACCCAGCGTTAGCATCAGATTCCACAGGGTAAGGGCTCAGTCCCGCAAGATCACCCTCCCCATCAGACACCAATCACAAGCCCAGGTTGTTACTTTGTGCATTATGCTTCTCAACTACAAACTACAGATTGAGGGTTCCTGTGACCCTTTCCCTGGACTTCAGATACCAGTCGCAAGTCCACATTGTTACCCCTCCTTGTGACCGACTAGTTATAAATCAGTTCCCATGACCCACTCCTTGGGTTCTATTAATTTGCTAGAGCAGCTCACAGAACGCAGGAAACCCGTTTGCTCACTGGATTACCAATTTATGACAAAGGATGCTAAAGGATACAAATCAACAACCAGATGAAGAGATACAATGGGCAAAGTCCTGAACAAAGGAGCTTCTGTCCTCATGGAGTTTGGGGCCCAGCATGGTGGCACCTGGAAGAACTCTGGTTCCCCAGCCTAGAAGCTCTCCAAACCGTGTCCTTTTGGGCTTCATTACACAGGCTGACTGATTAAGTCACGGGCCACTGCTGATCATTCAAACTCCAGTCCCTCTCCCCTCTTGGGGGTCGGGGCGGGGGGGTGGGACTGAAAGCTCCAACTCTCTCGTCTCTTGATTTTTTGGTTCTTTTGGCAACAAGCGCCCATACCTCATTAACATAAAAAGACACCTTCATGGCTCTCCTCACTTAGAAAATTTCAAGGCTTTTAGAAGCTCTGTGCCAGGAAAGGAGACAAAGACTAAAAACATACTGTTATAAATCACAGTACCACAATAAGGTATTCACGGAAGAAACTAATATCAAGAATCAAAAGAAAAGCTGGTAGGCCACCTAAAATATTATTTAAGGGACATTAGTACCAAGTAGCTAAGTTTGATTGAAAAGTAAATTGTTTATAATTTTTGTCTTTCTCTCTCATCCAGGTGCTATGCTTACATTTGAAAAGATTTCATTGGACGGCATATTTAAGAAACAAAGTTGATACATATGTAGAATTTCCCCTGAGAGGCCTAGACATGAAATGCTACTTACTAGAGGTAAGGTAGTTACCTTTGTTAGCCTGGTGAAAAGATGGCTCTTCAGTAAAATTAAGTCTTCACGAAGAGAGGGTAGAGGTTACTGAGGTAGGGAGATGCTGATGTCACTGACCACTGCTCCTAACTCAGTCCTGGGATACCTTCTCCCTTGTTCTGTAGCCTGAGAACAGTGGCCCGGAGAACTGCCTCTATGACCTTGCTGCTGTGGTGGTGCACCATGGTTCCGGGTGAGTATGCCAGCAGGCTTCTCAGGGCTGGGAATACAGAGTGGAGACCCACAATTTTGTACCATGCCCGATAACTCTCCCCAGACTCCCTATACTAGATTCAGATTCATTAAAGTGGACAAAGTAGAACTTTCCTTCAGTCTTGGTGGGAAGGAATATTCCTGAGGACGTCGCAAAGCATGAAGAGAAGGCGCATGAAACCAAAATGGAGAAGGGTTCATTCGAGCCCAGCATTAGGAACCAGTCTATCGTTCACAAAATCCCGAGTAGCCGTTACTCCAAAGCTGTTGATTTCCTTGGCCAATTGATATTTAAATGGGGGGAAATGGGGGATTATTTAGAATAACTTTACTTCATGCCATCTACTTTAAAGGTGCATTTCTTATTTTGTTGAATGACATTCTCGATTACTGTTTCCCCCTGAAAGTCTGTATTAGGGGTATATACCTTATTTCTGGTCCGCTTGAGAATGGCAGTTTTACCTTCAGACTTGGCAAACCGCAATCCATGTTTGAAAATCCTTTTCCCTCTGAACTTTGTAGACATTGCTCCACTGACTTCACCGTTCATAGTTATAAGTGACAAGTCCACTACGTCTGATTCTCATTTGTTTGACAAGTCTGATTCTCATTTGTTTGTTTTTTTCTTTGGACTTAAGAAATTACATCAGATGCATTTCTCTTTGGTAGTTGACAAGGGCACTCTTAAGTCTGATGTCTTCAGCTCATGGAAATGTTGTAAGGGTTTTTTCTAGCAGTTTATGAAGGTCTCTATTCTATCTACAGGCTTTCTCCTACCCAGTAGGACTGACTCTGGGGTTCCATGTATGAGTGGGTGGGTCATGCTGAGAGAGAAAAGCCGTTGATGGCCAAAGTAGGAGGGAAAGTGCTTCCCTGGAGGCAGATTTTATGTCTTACGCTCAGGTTTCTTCTAAGACTTCCTGGTCCTCAGTTTTCCATGTTTCCATAGGCTTTGAGCTCTGCTTGTTAGGTTGAGAGCTCCTTCACTGTTTGGTTTCTCTGTTAATCCAGTACCATGTAAACACTGCTTTGTGTGTCCTAAAAAATCCTCAATTTCTGGTCAGTCCATGGCACTCTTCCCTGTTTCCCAGTGTCAATATATTCCTTGTCATTTCAATGAGTTTTGAGACGATAAACACATGAGCCCAAGCAACCATCTTAAATTACAAGCCTCTAGGATTTATTCTCTAATTACAGTACTTATTAAAATTTATTGTTTACCTGATAATTTATATGGTTGCATAGATTCTTTTGTGATTTCTGTAGTCTTTTCCTTTGATCATCTGACCTTTCCTTACAGGGTCGGTTCTGGACATTACACAGCATATGCAACTCACGAAGGTCGCTGGTTCCATTTCAATGACAGTACTGTAACACTGACTGATGAAGACACCGTTGTGAAGGCCAAGGCCTACATCCTTTTTTATGTGGAACGCCAGGCCAAAGCTGGGTCGGATAAACTTTAATACCTCCTCCAAATCATTATTCGTCAACTATACCGGACAGACATTTCCAATTTTCCATAAATACTTGATCCAAGATTTAATTTCATTATGCACTTTTCAGTTTCCTATTTTGGGTTTAGTTTTATTTTGTCAATGGTAGTGACTTATTGAACATGGGCACCAACTAATTCTTTTTTTTAGTTCTACCAGAAAACCTCAGCAGATATTTTGATTTGCTGCTTTAGTTGTAATAATTCAGTTTTTATATGTAGTTTCAAGAACTTAGTTCTATTTGACTTTTTTATATTAATGTTCAGTTCTCACTTTGAGGCACATTTACATCAATGCATTGTTACTCTCACATGCTGAAAGGAAGATACGTTCCTGATCGTGAAGAGCAACGTAACCACCTGCTGCCTTCTCACAGCTGTAACGGAGATCAGGTTGGCTCAAAATCAAGGATCATGTGTGCACGTAATTTGTGGCCCATGAGATTTCAGTGACTGCTCAGTAATCATTCTCTTTGCCTGTAAAAGATAACTGAAAGGGCATCATTAAGTAGACCAGGTAATTGCTGCTCTTCTATCTCTCAAAGCTGCTGTTTATCAGCACTAAGTAACTAAATTTGTTGGTTCAGTTGTAACTATATTGCAAATTCAAGAATTACCTTTTTTTTTGGTTTTGGGGTATTTTCATAGAGATAGGGGTACTGGAAACTCCCAGTAAGGCCAAATACACTTAAGTGTTTAAAAAATTCCATGACTCGGCTACATGTTATCCAGGTGTTATTTATCTACTGCCATGAAACCATAGCTTCTGTCCACCTTTTTGAGTCAGCACCTAATTCCCCGTTAGTTGTAGCACCGGGATTAACTGCATGTCCACTGTAGTCTTACTTCTTACTTGGTCACCTGAGGTTGAGATGCTACCCTCCAGAGTTGATTCTGACCATCACCTAAACGTCGGGTAATATAGTGGGGTCTGCTTCCACAGAAGGAAACTAAAGTCTTTACTAGTCTAAGTTTTAACAGTTCTCATTGGCCTATCCTCATAGCAGAGCAATTGAAAATATTTTCACTTTGAATAAGTAGAATTTCTATTCTTGAGGTTAGTAGTCTGTTTTAAAATTTTCAAGAAAAGGGCTTCCCTGGTGGCGCAGTGGTTGAGGGTCCGCCTGCCGATGCAGGGGACACGGGTTCGTGCCGCGGTCCGGGAAGATCCCACATGCCGCGGAGCGGCTGGGCCCGTGAGCCATGGCCGCTGAGCCTGCGCGTCCGGAGCCTGTGCTGCGCAAC